CTGTACACTAAGCTACCATGTATTCGTCATCCCAGACACCTTTTTTTCTCAGATATCTAAATTCACGCTTCCTCTGAAACTGCACAGGCTGGTTTACTACAGTCCTCGCTGCACCCACACATTACATGCACCCACACATTACATGCACCCACACATTACATGCACACATTACATGCACACATTACATGCACACATTACATGCACACATTACATGCACACATGCCCGCATGCACACATTACATGCACACATTACATGCACACATTACATGCACACATGCCCGCATGCACACATTACATGCACACATTACATGCACACATTACATGCACACATTACATGCACACATTACATGCACACATGCCCGCATGCACACATTACATGCACACATTACATGCACACATTACATGCACACATTACATGCACACATTACATGCACACATTACATGCACACATTACATGCACACATTACATGCACACATTACATGCACACATTACATGCACACATTACATGCACACATTACATGCACACATTACATGCACACATTACATGCACACATGCCCGCATGCACGCACTCACGCACGTACACACACACACACCAGTTAGTAAGACTATGCCTGCAGCTGCAGAAATATAATTTTACAAGCATTCCAGACCGTCCCTGCTGTCATCATCTTATTGACATGGGATATTCAGAAACCTCAGCCGAATGAAATAATGCCAAACTGCAGCAAGCCCTGTGGTGAGTTGGAGCAAGAGCCCATCTACTAGAGGCTGACATGTAGGGAAATCGGCAACTGAATGGAATTGCTGCCAACCGCACTCGGCATTGTTGTAAGCCAGGGGGCCTGCCACATGCAAACCGCCTACCTTGACAGGACGTAGCATTGAACGAGCTAAACCCAGTCGGGCAAACGCACGTGAAGCTCCCCACCAGGTTCTGGCAGCCCACAGCCGAGTCATCGCACAATGATCCTGAACCACCGCCACTCTCAGTGCATTCGTCGATATCTGTTGAATGAGAAACAAGGACATTCAGACATCAATCAACCGCTTGAATTTGATTTTCCAAATTTCCGGGCAGACTAGAAAGGTGGATATGTTAGCTCCCGGCACACCAGAACACAGGGGTTTTATAGTATTGAATTATGGAAGTATTTCGACAAGAGTGTAGACAATAATGAAAAGGAGAACAGGACAACGACAACTCCAGACTAGACAAGAACAGAACTGGAGACCCACTGGAGCATGCGCTCTTCTATATGTGAGTGGCTCTCATTGCCAAGGGGAACGAGCGGGAAATACGAATCGTGAGTATGACATTGTGCAGGTCGTAGCATAAATACACCTATTACAGATACATGAATACCGTGCCCTATATTGCAAGTGTGGCAGGAAGCATCACCAAAGCAATTTCACTTATGGTAAGTGACGAGATGGAGGAAGCCTGATGGTTGCAGAGATGGAGGAAGCCTGATGGTTGCAGAGATAGAGGAAGCCTGATGGTTGCAGAGATAGAGGAAGCCTGATGGTTGCAGAGATAGAGGAAGCCTGATGGTTGCAGAGATGGAGGAAGCCTGATGGTTGCAGAGATGGAGGAAGCCTGATGGTTGCAACGCACTAGCCATTTTAAAACTAATAGGACTGAGTGAAGCGTCTGCCATGCTCAGCATTCTGCTCCTGGTGATTTGCCCTGATACAGCCGCCACCTACTGTCATGACAAACTGATACAGTTGAATGCCGCTTATCAGAAGGTCAACTATCCGAACGATCAATTATTAATGCTTGCGTGCATTGAATCGAATTGAAGGGGCGAAAATGAGTGTTTGCTGATTTCCGCCACCCAGCGCACCATTCAAGCGGTGCACAAGATGCACTTCGAAGTATTGCAACAGGTTGGAGTCAAAATGCATCGCCATGGTGGCATTTTGTGGATCTACAATATAATCTAGTTCCTGTGGTACTGGGATTGTGCATGTTTTAGATGCATGTGTGTCTACTCCCTTGTCTGACCAGTCTCCTCACCCGAACTCCCCTCGAGACAGCCCGCGCCCTCCGAGGTGTGCGGATAATTGCCGCTATCCTGTAGAAACTAGCATGATCTGCAGTCAGTACTAGCAGCATGTCGCCACTGCACGCTACTATCCGGTGTCCACTTCCTGGTGGAACATTCAAGTGCATGTTTCTGAGATGAACGGCGTCTTAAGAGGAATCATACCGCTTCCCAAGATGGCTCCTGGTGTATACAATCATGTAGGCAAGTCTTAAGTTAAGTGATGATAGTCACTGGTGGATGGAAGTAAGCTTACCAACGCATTTCTCTGTGTTTCCAGTCTGGAAGCCGACACCACACTCCGTGCACTGTGCTGGTGCTGTGGAAGCGGAAAGCATGCATACAATGATGGTCACAAATGATGTCAGCAACCTACATTCTAGGCAGTCATTGGGCTACTTAGTCTCTCATGATGACATCATGATTTCATGAAACGTTGACATCATGATTGTCTGACTCATTGTCACATTCCTAGTCAGGGCCCATTACGGGGAGGGAGAGGGGTGGGGGGGGGGGGGGAGGGGGAGATTCCGATGTGCTTCACGAACTCATCCTCAATTGAAGCACTTGTGATTGAATTATTCATAAGTTGAGGGTAAGTTGAGGGTATGGAAACGGGAAAAGTCTGAAGAATAAATTGACTGTCACCACCAGGACTTGAACCAGGGACCTTCACTTGAGGCCAGCGATGCTCTAACCACTGATCTATGATGTAGCCGTCATCAAACTGTTGACAATTTGTTAAACCTCTCCATTATTCCCTGACCTCTGCTGTGACATGTCTTACCCGTGCTACTCGTCACTTCCACAAGTACAGAACTCTGCGAGCAAGGACCGCCATCAACACAGCACTGGTACTCGGCGCTATCCGCCACAGCAGCATTGCGAATCTCAAGAATCCTGTCAACACCAGAGCACAACGCACAAAGTCCAATACCAATAAGATAAAAAGGATACCCACAACACTAGATATGGAACTAATGTCGTCCCATAAAATCGATGCCAATTTGATTGCTCGGAAAATAAACTCTACAGTAATGGAAAGATCCAGCTCATGCTGCATTTAGCTATGCGACAACCTCCGCCACCAACCAATCGTTTCCCTTGCCAATTGAGTTTGTGACAGAAGCACACCAACATGCCTTGCCAGCATCCATTATTCTGAAGTGTGTATCAGTCTCACATTCAAAAGCATGCAACAGCACCGATTAGCACCGATTAGCTTAGCTATCAAGCAATTGCAGTGCTCTTGGGTGAAAACCAGTCTTGTGAATATGGCAGTATCCTCACGTACACTACACAGGCCAGCGCTCACAGCGATAGCACCAGGCAGCCCAATGCACCAGACAGCCCAGCAACCCTGGTATTCACAAAGCCGAATTTCACTCCCTATCGATTCACATGGCCATGCAATGGATGCCCGATACGCCCCTCTATCAATTCACATGGCCATGCAATGGATGCCCGATACGCCCCTCTATCAATTCACATGGCTATGCAATGGATGCCCGATACGCCCCTAGCTTACTGGTCACCAACTGTCACACGGTCCGATCCCACAATTTGCGTTCCATTGGAGAACTGCCATCTGATTGATGCAGGCGGCAGAGATCCGTACGGGCAGGTTAGAACGATACTGCTGTCAAGAGGCACCCTCAGGCCTGCCTGAGGTCTGGGTATTGGCACATCGTCTGCAACAACGCAAAGAAAGATATCACGCTACACTTCTTTGGCGGAATTCAGTGTAACTAAGCACACAACTGAGCCGGTTCGCTGCATACACACACACACACACACGCGCGCGCTCAGATTTTCCGTATCAAACCCTACCAAGCAAGCAATGTGAAACTGCGTAGGAAATTGGGTGTTTCTAGCATACTTACTTCTATTTGCTGTTGCTTTATGCTTTCGTTTTATGGTTGATGTTGCTTATTTGGATTGGCATAAAAACGATTCGCCCGATACAAAACTGTCCAACGTTTTCTGCCAAGTACTGCGTGTGTTATTTTCCGAGGCATTGCCATCTTCTATATGGCACCGTGTGGGCATGCATGCATTGGGTACACGGTGGTGCAATGATGGATTACATGAACAGTAGTTGGATGGCAAAATAAATTTATATGCATGTAGCGCTGTAGCACTGGTCGGTTCGCATCCCGCATTCGGAGTCTTAGCCACAGGGATTATTTGCGAGTTTTTAGGGGTTTTAAAGTGTGGCTAGCACCCTGGAAAATACAGTAAATTAATCCTGCTGCACTGTACTTACTGCACACTGGCCCGCCGAAAGTCGCTGGCTCAGGAGTTCCTGTAAGTCGCTGGATGATGTCATGCTCGATCGCATCACAAACATCTTGGACAACAATGTCAGTCTCCAGACTGCAGGTATCAGACAATACAGATGATAGGAGTGACATCATACTTTTGTTGTGCTCGCATGCATATTAGTCGCCCCCTTTGAACACACTTCCTTCCTGTACTGGTCCCCGTTGGGAGGGCATTGCATTTGGTGTCTGCTGTCTTGGCCTTCCTTCCCGTTCGGGTCTTTTTGTTGTACAAATTTTCGCTGACCCGTGCACCTTTCTTGCTGATCAGTGCACCTTTTAATCCTGTGTCTTTTCTTATATCTTCATCATTTGTCCAGTCATCTCCTCCAAGCAACTTGCAAATATACTCTTTCTTTAATGGTGGTTTAGCGTGTGCGCTAAGCCCTGTTAACGAACGTGGAACATCTACCACTCATACTTAGTCTGATGATCATGCATCTGATTATGATGTCATTGCTATACATGCGCATGCGCAGCGCGCGCCACTCTCCCACGCATGCATTCCAAATCTTGCTTTAGCGAGAGAGAAGGAGAAAAGAGAGACTCCTTTGTCACTTTTGCGTTCTGACGACTTGACTGTTCACTGGTTTGTCCGTCAGTTGTCAATTTCCTACATTTTCCTGCCTCAACGGACATGCCAAGAACACGGAGCACCTCACGGGGTGCAAGCGCTGCTGGCACTGACGCTGACGGTCCCCCAGCTCTCTACCCGTATCCGCAGCGGGCTGTGAATTCTGCGAATTCTCAAGACCATCGGAGAGCGAGGTCCCGTGTGATCCATGCTCATGGGCACATTTCAGCCAATGCGGACCAGGTGACTTCTCCTGCGCCGTCACAACCAGCTCCTCTCACCCTGAGCGACCTGACTGGTGTTATCCAGCCCCTCCTGGAGCGCGTGGAGCGTTTGGAATCCAACGTCGTCGCCCCTACCACCTCGCCCATTGCCGCACCAGCACCAGCACCAGCATCAGCTCCTCTCCCGCTGGGGCAGCCTTCCCCGATGCACTTGGCTTGCGCAGCCGGCTCTCCAGGACTCCCCGTCATCCCTCCACGGCTACGGGAACGTATCACACGAGGTGAGTTTGTCGAATTTGGGGACTTGTTGCCTGAAGCCATGTCCGGCAGTAGTGATGTCCTGCAGTTGTCGTTGGTGAACGGCAGGTCCGTTGAGCTGGTGCAGAGCTCGTCCACTCCCCAGCCCTCCAAGCGCCGAGTCCATGACTTGGCGACGTGGTTAGAGGCCTTCACCTTGTTCACCAGAGTCCTGGTCGATGCGTCGCCGGACCAAGCTCCAGATTTGCTGGCGTACCAAGCCAACATCATCGAGGCCAACAACAATTATCTGACCGACGCGTGGCTGACCTATGACCGTCGTTTCCGTGCTGGTCTTGCTGCCATGCCGCACCTGTATTCCTGGCGGCAACTGGACCCTAACCTCTGGCAGTCCTGCTTCACGAGCCGCGGGCGCCCTATCTGCTCGCGTTGTTCTCTCGTGCACCCATCTCCAGCCCCGCATTGCCCCTTTCGTGGAGGGCTCCCTCTTGCGCAGCACGCAGGCGGGAGCCAGTCAGCCACCAGCCCAGCTCCTCGTCACGATGGCCGCCAGATCTGCCGGAATTACAACAACGGCGCCTGCACATACCCGTCCTGCATACGGGCCCATGTCTGTCTGTCATGCCGCGGCAAACACCCAAAGAAGACTTGCACCCGAGCGGCCTCTCAGTCTTCCCAGTGACGTCGTCACTCCAGTCAACGTGCCTCGGCTAACTGCACTGCTAGCTGCTCACCCTGATGCCCTGTTTCGTGATTATGTATGTGCTGGCATGTTAAACGGCTTCTCGATTGGTCACACCACTCCTCTGGTATCATGCATTCAATCTGTCAATCATCCGTCTAGTCTCTGCAATAAACAATTTGTCACCCTGTACCTACAGTCTTGTTGCGATGCTGGGGAAACAGCTGGTCCGTTTGCTGAGCCGCCATATCAGCTGTTTCAAACCTCGGGTTTGGGCCTGATCCCAAAATCCAATGGCAAATTTCGCCTCATCCATGACCTATCCTCCCCCACTGGCCGCAGTGTCAATGATGGTATTTCCCGGGAGTCATTCAGCTTGGAGTATGACACTGTCGATTCGGCTATCTCCTATATCATGAAGTTAGGCCGTGGTTGCTACCTGACCAAAGTGGACATTCGAAACGCCTTCCGATTATGCCCTGTTGCCCCCTCTGACTGACACTTGTTGGGTATCTCTTGGGATGGTCGTTACTATTTCGAAAAAGTCCTCCCGTTCGGCCTTCGGTCAGCTCCGTACATATTTGACAAGTTTGCATCTGCCCTTCATTGGGTTCTGGAGGACACATGCCGCCTTCCCCATCTCATTCATTATCTGGATGACTTCCTGAATGTATCGCCTCCCAGTCTTCCTCTTGCCCAGCACCAGAAGTCACTACTGCTCGACCTGTTTGCATATTTACAGGTCCCAGTTGCACCTGAGAAGGTTGACGGCCCCTCTACGGTTCTCACCTTCCTGGGCTTAGAGCTGGACACAATGGCTCTGGAGATCCGCCTTCCACCCTCAAAGCTGACTAAGCTATCTACCACCGTGTCGGCCCTCGTCCAATCCGGCCGGGTTCAGAAACGCGACCTCGCCTCCGTATTGGGCAAACTCTCGTTCGCGTCCAGAGCTGTACCAGCTGGTCGCACATTCCTGAGACGCCTGTACGACCTGGACAGAGCAACTCGATCAACACCATTGCACCAATGGCTACGCGTTTCGGCATCGGCAATGGCAGACCTGTTGTGGTGGGCAGAGGCCCTGACCATATGGAATGGGAAGTCATTCTTCCTGGTGGATGAGTGGACGCCAGCCCCCGACATGCAACTACAGACTGATGCCAGCGGCACTCACGGTTATGGTGCCTTCTACAACGGCCGGTGGCTGAGAGGAGAGTGGACAGCCCAGAACGAGAACGAGAACATTGAGTTCAAAGAAATGTATGCTATCATAGTTGCCTGCGCGACCTGGGGTTCGGAGTGGAGCAGGCGACGCATTCAGTTTCAGTGTGACAACAAGGCCGTGGTGGACTGTATACGCTCCGGTACCTGCCGTTCACCGCCAGTCATGACACTTATCCGGGCATTGTATCTGCTGTGTATTGAGCATGACTTCTTGGTGTCAGCTGTCCACATTCCTGGTGTCACTAACACTGTCGCCGATGCATTGTCTCGCAATTTGCTGCAGGTATTCAGGCACCAGGCCCCGGAAGCAGCAGCCGAGCCAGATCAGCCAGTCTTGCCAACTCTCCGTTGACAGACTCCGTGCTACAGCTAGCAGCACTGGCAATAGCACCATCCTCCCGCCGGACGTATTCTACCGCCGAGACCCGCTACTTCCAGTTCTGCCAAGTGCATGCCTGCAACCCATTGCCGGGCGACGACTTTACTTTGTGCTATTTTGCTGCCGAGTTGTTCAGGACTCTTCAGCCTCGATCTGTCCGTGTCTACATGTCGGCAATCCGCAACCTTCATGTGGAACTTGGCTTTGCTTACCCGTCGGGCCCAACAACTCTCCTCGCTAGGGTCCTGCGGGGCATCGACAGGTCGTCATCGACACAGCGTCATCGTCTGCCGATAACCACTCCACTTCTCAGGGAGATCTGCCGGCATGTTGCCGTTCCATGCATGCGGCACCCTCACGACAAGGCCATGCTAAGGGCAGCTTTTTCCTTGGCGTTTCATGGGTTCTTCCGTTGTGGAGAACTGACTGCTGGCCTGAGGCGATGTGATGTGACGATCAGTACTGACCAGCGGTCGTTATCGGTAAACTTGCGCTCATCTAAGACGGACCCCGACAGCACGGGCCACACAGTATTGGTTGGAGCCAGCACGGACGCACTGATCTGCCCAGTGCAGGCCATGGCAAACTACCTGGCGTTTCGCCCCGGCGGCGACCATCTGTTCACTTATGCTAATGGCCAGCCGCTTACAAGAAATGCAGTGTCCTCTGAACTGCGCAACCTGCTGCCACTCTGTGGGGTCACGGACCCGAGTGCATATGCCAGTCACTCTTTCCGGATTGGCGCCGCAACATCAGCGGCCATGGCAGGTGTCCCCGAACACATCATCCGTATCATGGGTAGATGGCGCAGTGATGCGGTCCACCGCTACATCCGGGCTGCTACAGCTGACACCCTGCGAGTGTCACGTCAATTAGCTGCAGTTCAAAGTCATCAATGGTAGCTGCGGGTTAGTGACCACATCATGCCTGAACTGCTTAGCTTTAGCTTTACATTGCTGCTGTCAGTACAGCACAATACACCAGTCGTATTTCATTATTACTCTCATGCCATATTGGGGATATTGGGAACGGGCAGTCTATCTCCGCAGCTGGCTCATTTCAATCACTACCGGTCGCAGCTCCTGCCCACGGCAGGCCGACCGTCTCTCGTTCACACTCTGTGTGCTCCAGGTCACAGCTCCTGCGCAGAGCAGGCCGACCTGCCTGTCTCTCTCTCACACACACTATGTGTGCACCGGGTCACAGCTCCTGCGCAGAGCAGGCCGACCTGTCTTTCTCATGCACGCCAGCTGCTCCGCCCAATATCCCTGATATGCCAACCAGAAAACAATGTGTTCTGAGCCGGGTGCATGCCTGTATGTGGAGAGTGCGTTAATGGTGGTTTAGCGTGTGCGCTAAGCCCTGTTAACGAACGTGGAACATCTACCACTCATACTTAGTCTGATGATCATGCATCTGATTATGATGTCATTGCTATACATGCGCATGTGCAGCGCGCGCCACTCTCCCACGCATGCATTCCAAATCTTGCTTTAGCGAGAGAGAAGGAGAAAAGAGAGACTCCTTTGTCACTTTTGCGTTCTGACGACTGGACTGTTCACTGGTTTGTCCGTCAGTTGTCAATTTCCCCTTCCCTCCCAACCCCATTCGACTGGGGATCACTATCTCTCCGTCACTGTCACCATAATTTCCTCAATAACAGTGTCAGTACAACTCTTGTCAATATACTTATATCGGGTGAGGGCAGTCTATCTCCGCAGCTGGCTCATTTCAATCACTACCGGTCGCAGCTCCTGCCCACGGCAGGCCGACCGTCTCTCGTTCACACTCTGTGTGCTCCAGGTCACAGCTCCTGCGCAGAGCAGGCCGACCTGTCTGTCTCTCTCTCACACACACTATGTGTGCACCGGGTCACAGCTCCTGCGCAGAGCAGGCCGACCTGTCTTTCTCATGCACGCCAGCTGCTCCGCCCAATATCCCTGATATGCCAACCAGAAAACAATGTGTTCTGAGCCGGGTGCATGCCTGTATGTGGAGAGTGCGTTAACTAAACTATTGCTTATTGATCGGTGTGGTCGACAAGGGTTAATAGTTCGTCTAAACCATGATGACACTTTACTCAAAGCTACGCAAGGCATTTATCTCCCCTGACCGTATAATAATTATTCCGCCACACACCCAAGTGAACACCCATGCACACGTGCACATACGCACATACGCGCATGCACACACACACACACATTTACATCAATAACATTGGCATGCTGCATGCTGTCCCTTACACAAGTAGATTAGAAATCTGATCCAGACTGGCAAATGCAGTGATGCTCAAGGTGGTAAGTGGCTGGACTTGAAGATTCCTAAAAAATCACACACACATAGGTGACATGATGGGCATCAAGTTTACAAGAAGGACGGGCTGGTGTGTGCCGGGGGGGGGGGAGGAGAGGGGAAGGCGAGGAGTGAGGGGGAGGGGGAGGGAGGAGAGGGGAAGGCGAGGAGTGAGGGGGGGGGGGGTTAAATGCCAGAACAACACTCTGAATCCTCAAAGCACAAAGCCATGTCACACAAGGCAATATCGGCAGATCACCTTGGGAAGAAATTCGATGTGATGGTAACGCCCCAGCACATTGCTCTTTGCTTGCCAGTGCATGTGTATTACAATTCCTAAGTGTTCTTGTCATTGTGACACAATTTATTGCACTGTCTTTCAACAAAGATTGCTTCACCGAGCATACTTCACAGAGGCATCAAAAATGCCCAAAGCGATATCAGAAGTGGAATGAAGTGTCTGGGGAATGTTTAGATAGCATTAAATGACTGTCCAGTAAGTACCATAGCAGCAAATCCAGGGCTAAACTTAGAACAACATTACCACAGTCTTGTTCTCTTACAAGGTTGCCAGCGATGTGAGATATGCAAAGATGCCGCCACCTAGCTGAGTGATCTGGTTCCGGCTGAGGTCCCTGTGTGCACACACATAGCAATAGTAATACACAAGACACAATCCAGCATACATTGGCAAAGGTCAGCCAAAAATGAGCTATCACAATACAATATAGTGCCATGGCATACCTTACTCATTCAGGTGTTGGGTACAATGGTCTTGGCCTTCATGCACTGACAGGATATCAACCAGGATTTGATATATTGTCAAAACAATGAAGATCATGCTGTTAAAGGGGAAGTATACCCTAAAATCAAATTTTCACCAGTTGTAGTCTTTGGGGTGCTGAGTCGAAAGGTCTTGGTCCGAGGAAGCTGAGACGCTCCCTTCCTCCTTTATTCCCAATCGAACTCGCGCACTTCCACCGAAACTGGGTGACTGCGCCCTACTAGATGGGGATTTGTATGCAAAATGTCACTAAAAGCGCCATTTCGTTCTTATAAAAGCACGGATGACCGCCATTGGCCCATATGTTGTAGTCTTTTGGACGCTGAGTCGACTGGTTTTGGTCCGAAAAGGCTGCGATGCAGCGTTCCTCCTTTATTCCCAATCGAACATGGTTGAACAAGCGGTCACGTGCTCCTGCGTACACCAGTCACCTGGTCACCGTGCCTGCAGGGTACAACTTACTAGCCTGTTTGACCTTTTTTGGGTGCAGTCCTGTCACTCGAGTTGAACTCGAGTTGAACCTTGGTGTGAAAGCTGTCGCCTGCTGGCGCGGTGACCAGGTGATTTGGGCACCCAGGAGCACGTGACCGCTTGTTCAACCATGTTCAATTGGGAATAAAGGAGGAACGCTGCATCGCAGCCTTTTCGGACCAAAACCAGTCGACTTAGCGTCCAAAAGACTACGACCATGGCCAGCAAGCGAGCACATCTGAGAGTTGTAATTTTTGTACTCCTCCGAGGTGTGATTTTTGGCGTGTGGGGCCAAGAACAAGGAAGCCATCTGCAAAAAAACTGCAG